ACATATAGACAACCACAAATTATACCCAAACTCACGAGAGAAACAAATGTAGACCACAGAACTATTTCTCCCGGCCTGGGAATCAAACCTGGGACTTCTGCGTGGCAGTCCAGCATGGTAACCGTTCGGCCATTGAGGCAGTAAATAAATGTATATTGAATTTGTTTTCAAATTGTTCACGTCTTTACTTGTTACTTGCAACTTCGTAGAGTGCGCGACATTTTTAAACGACACGCTTGTCCCTAACAGTTGCAATGCCATTCAATGCTTTAAATCACAAAGATCTGAAGAGCATTGCCACTGCGATCGTCACCCAGTTGATAAGTCACATGTGCCTGTAATTTCACCAGTATCTGTGCCCTTTAAAACCGAAAGGCATTTATGCTCACACTATTGCCTGGCGGCTGTTATAGGTAAAATAGCAAGTAGTACTTCCCTGGACGTACTCTTTCACTAGGAGTTCTACTGTTACTAACATTTTTAATTTTATTACGTGATCCATCAAAATAGATGGAATAAAGACGATGAAGTTTTAAAATAAAAAAAGTTTTGAAGGAGTAGTTAATGAAAATTTGAACTCACCCTCTGTTATCGTCTAACTGAATGTAGCGTAAGTTGCCGCTTGCGCCGTTAAGCGAAGCTCGATAAATCTCGCTTGGGGTCTTTAATGCTTAACTCGTCCAAAGGGTTAACAATATCAGCCAATATACAATGAGTTCCCTTTAATCCTTGATAAGAATCAATAGTAATCAGCCGCTGTAAAGCTAATTTAAAACAAAGTTATGATGGCACCGATTTCATCTTATGGAGTTTAGCAAATGAATTTTTGCTACCACCAATGTTGCTATACTACTTTAGATACAACTCAATCATGGCATATAGTTATAGGTAGATACTACGTAGATAATAACCCTCACAGCAGTTTTCAGCAATTTATCATGAAACCTTTTTTGTTATTACAATCGTGTGTCTGTCATTATTCATCTATAGTATATGTATACTCGGTTACCTAGTGTCGCAGTTAGAGTTTTTGTCCTTTTAGGCATTTAATAAAAAATATAGCAATAAAACATTTACTAGGGCCAACGACCAGCTCAGTTAAATACAAATGACGTAGTTCGGCCTCACATAGGCAATTCGATCTGTGCTGACTTCTTTGCTGCTCTGATGCCGTGACTGGGTGGAAGACGGACGCTCAGCGACAGGGAGACGCCGGGTTGTACCAGTCGCTAGCCTGCTCGAAGATCGTACTTAAGCCGAAAGCGAAGCGGAGGTAACGATTTCAAGTCCGGACTTTTGCCCCAAACTAGGGTTACATGATATTTTCCAGGAACGTACAGTAACGAAGACCAAAATACGGTTACGTTTTGAAATACGTATCAGTGACCGATATTACTAGTGACGTACGTTCTGAGAGGTGATGGATAGTCTCCGTGGCGGCAAGTGACGTAAATGCCGAACAATAGATCAGGTTGCCGTCGGCGCTAAGACGGCGCTCAGGGTGACTAAAATTATTGTATTGAACGCATGATGATGAGAACCTCTGCCAACACCGATTTCAATTTAATAAATATGTTATTTAATTTTTAATTCGGGACTTAATCATGTTTAAAAATATTTTTTAATTACCTTGACATTTCGGACGTAAAGAGTTAAAGAACACATTGCGGCTGCTATGAACCGTCAGCTCAATAAGTCTGCAATAGCCGAGCATTTGCTGGAATCAGAACCAAACCACTGGATTGAGCTTCATAATCTCAAGATCCTTTCTACAGAACATCGTCACTATAGTACAATCGTACGTGAAGCTATTGAAATTTGAAAAATACCGTAATTTCAAACGAGAAGACGGTTTTAAACTTTCATCGTCATGGGATCCAGTTATCAGCAAATGTAAATGACATGAAGTATCGCCCGACATGTCGCCGGACGTCGTGAGTGTTATGTGTCGGTCTAGTGAGAACCCTAGTGCACAAATAAATAATGAAGATCAAGAAAAACTGGCACGGGTAGAAGATGCTGACACCTGCCTCTTCAGAAACTTCGAGACCATGGACGTTGCAATACGTCCGAAACGTCGAGGTAATTAAAATATGTTTTTATACATGATTAAATCCCGAATTAAAAATCAAATAATGTGTGAAAATCATGAAAGTTTAAATCAAAATATGTACGTATAACGGTTCACTGGTACATTCACAATAAAAGCGTCTTCTTGAAATCATTTGAGACTATTTCTGTTTTTTTTTGCGGCCGGCGCTGTGACAGTAGCCAACAGATTTCAGAGATCCATAGCTTTATCTCTTTTCGTTGCTATGCTCAAAGTTCGATCCTGTACCTGGCTTATTGAGCAACGTCTTGACTTATCTTCTTTTTACCAAAGTCCAAGTCAAATAATCATTTATTCCGTAGGTAACATTTTTACTCTTGAAAGCGTCATTTTTTAAGCGGCTAACTACTCGTTCACCTCCATGACCTCCTTGAGAAGAACGGGCAAGAAACTAGGGATAGCTCTTTTGAAATAAACTTAAAAGCTATAAAATACATTTTGAATCATATTTGTGTGGAATCTAGACTCACGTTGTCTGTCCATACATCTAACACGTAGTCGTAAATTTTGTAATATGACTTTTCAATTAAAATACTTATAATGTAATCTTTAAACTTAGAAAATGTTAATCTTAATATATGTTCCGGAATCTTATTGTAAAAACGTATACAGTTCCCCATAAAAGAATCGTTTTCCTTAGTTAAACGAAATTGTGGTTATAATTTTAAACGCCGGGATGAACAAGTCGTTCACCTAGTGGTAAGCGACACGCCTATCCCTGACAGTTGCTGTGCCACTCAGAGCTTTAAATCGCAAACATCTGAGAGGTAATTGCCACTACGCTCGTCACCCTGAAACATAAATTGACAAGTCCCATATGCATTTAATTTCAATAGTGCCCTTATCATTTACAACCGGAATGCAGTAATGCTCACATCACTGCTTGGCCAGAGAAATAGGTAAGGTGGCAGTATTTTCCTGGACGAACTCTATTTCTACTAGCTCGGATTATTGATACCACTTTAGTTGTTGTATAACATCAACATCATCATCATTTTGTAGCTTATTTATACTATATAATTCTCTGGGGACAAATAATATTAGGAACGAAATCACAAAGAAGTACTCCCAATAACATACTCCTAAATCTATGTATATGTACGAACACTTCAAATATTCTCAACTCTTTTGTACTGCACTCTTCGGTAAGAAAATACGTCTGGCTTTCTATTAATAGAAAAAATGCCTCGGGGAATAATAAGGCAATTTGCTTCGAACATTCTTTTTACTCCTTAACTCGTACTTGTTGAAAAATGAATGAAAAATTTCTTCAAGAACGCTTAGTTTTGTAATAATATATGTTACTTTCATGTTAAAACTGAGATTCAATTCGACTTTAAAAAGATATACTAGTATTGTTTGTTAAATTGTATTGATGTCATGATAAAATAATAAAATTTTCTCTTTGTTTCCATTCTTATTAAAAAAATACAATCAAAAATACATATAATATACATATAGGTGTTACATATTTATTACTATCTTCTAATTTACATTCTTTTTCGGTTTATTGATAAAAAAAATCATTGAAATCATCATCATTTTTTTATTTTGTCATGCTCCTGATGTTTTTATGTCATCTTGGCCTTACTCAATATCTTTTTTTTTATTACTTAAAATAAAAAAGCACAAGCTACAAGAAAATTTAAGAAAATGTGAGCACTGAACCTCAAAGGTAACAAAAAAAAACTTATAATCACATTGGAAGTTTAAAAACCAACGTAAAACCTAAAATACTTTCTTCGATACCTGTACGTTTTTCCCGAATTTGCGCCCGACTCACGTAGCGGGACACTTGCAGCCCTGTTCGACCAATCACCGACAGCAGTTGAGACGGGAATACGTTAAACTGTCGATACAGTCTATTAATTACAGTAGACTGACTCCAAAATGTATTCGAATTGACTTCAGTTTGATATAAGTACTATTTAAATAAGCAAGAATAACATCGCTTCCTTTATTGTGTGGGTTGCTAGTGCACCTAGTAGGAGGCAGACAGCATGTGAGTACTCCTCTTCGAAAGAAACGATTAGACTATTATACTGGTAGAGCCATATGTTTAACATGCTTTAAATGATATTTCATTAATTCATGAACTGGCTACCTATAGTATAGGTAAAACCCTAGTATACCTATAGTATAGGGAAAACCCTATACTATAGGTAGCCAGTTCATGAATTAATGAAATATCATTTATCTCGATAAAAATATCGAGATCTTCGGTTTTAGTGATTATTACACATTGGCTTTTTTTGGATCTAAATCTCGTATATTAGTTTAGTTTTTTGAAACTAACCAATATTTCGGACTCTTTTCAAATTTTTATACAGAATAAATTTATCTTTATTTATACTGGTCCCACCAGGTTTGAGCTGCAAACTACTTTCTATACAGCCTGTGGTGAATTCAGCCAAAACTGAACTCCTGCTTTATTCTTCCTTGGATATCAATGAAACTCCATAATTTGAAGTGGACTGTATATATTCATGTAAATCTGACTTACAAGACAACAAGTGTTTCCATGAGTGATTACAAAAAGTGAATGAATAAATGACAAATTATCGCCTATATTTATACCAGTACGGTGTCTCCCACATCGTACCGGTCCTATCAATGGGTCGCTACGCCGCTCGGCCAATCAGAGCTCTCGAATTAATCATTCTGTTCTGGACTCTAGCTCTGACCGGCCAGGCGCGTACGGCCGTCCGTAACATCCTCCCCTCAGCGAAGTCTTACGAGCTAAGGCTAGGTAAACAATAGAAAGAATAAAATAGTAAAAGGAAAAACGATCTAGACGGTAAACAATCAAATCAACTTAAAACTTATCCTACGTGTAAAGGTAAATACAAATCTTATCATACTAAACATAATCAAAACAAACCTAACCTAATTACTTGGGGAGGACGGCCAACTTACGCGCCGGACGCCTAAAAATGCCACCCCGTGTCCTAACTTCTACGCTCCTAACTGTGCCGTCGGGGCCCGGGTAGATTTTCACTACTTCCCCGCGCGGCCATACGTTCCGTGGTAGCGTAGAGTCTACTATGAGGACTAAATCTCCGACGGTGAGATTTCTGTTTGAATCGGAGGGTGACCCGCGCGGAACGAGTTGCGGTAAATACTCCCTAACCCATCGGCGCCAGAAACTATCTGCTAACGCTTGCGCCGCTCGCCATTGTCGTCTATCTGCATTCTCACACGTTCCGATAATGGGCAGTACGTTCGGTTGCCCAAGCAAGAAGTGGTTTGGTGTGAGCGCTTCGGGCTCGGCCGGATCTGCCGATACGTGGGTAAGCGGACGCGCGTTTATAGTATATTCTGCTTCCGCGAGCAAGGTTAACAAAACTTCCTCTTTCGGCGCTCTATCGTGTAAGGTGACTGATAGCGCAGTTTTTACCGACCGCACTAATCGTTCCCACGCGCCCCCTTGGTTCGGCGCGCCGGGGTCGATATATCGCCAGTCCACGCGCTGCGTTAATGCAAATTCACGGAGCTCGGGCTCCCATTCCTTCATAGCTGCCCGTAGCTCGGCATCAGCGCCTCTAAAGTTCGTCCCGTTATCGCTGTATATAACTCGCGGCCAGCCGCGTCGTGCGGCCATTCTGCGCAAGGCCATTATTGCCGAATCCGTGGTTAATGACGCGGCGAGTTCTAAATGCACCGCGCGCGTAGTTAGACAAGTGAATAATGCGCCCCAGCGTTTTTCGTGGCGTCTACCTATCGTAACTATCATCGGTCCAAAATAGTCTACTCCGCAATTGCTAAACGGTGGGCTATACGCGTCTAGTCTCGCAGCGGGTAAGTCTCCGAACGCCGGCACGAACGGCGTAACCTTCTTGACACGACAGAAAGTGCATCCGTGTAACACCGTACGCACGGTTGAACGTAATCTTAGCACATAGTACGTCTGTCTTACGTCGTTCGCGACGCGCTCGCGCCCGCCGTGTCCGGAACGCCTATGTATGTTGTCGATACAGAGTCGAGTGAACGCGTTCCGTCCGTCCAAAACCGCGGGTGACTTGACCGACTGTTCGATTTGCGCTGCATTTATACGACCGTTCACGCGCACGATTCCGTCCGTTCCTATCACGGGGTCTAACTTAAACAGCTTGCTGCTACGCGGCAACGGTTTCTTACGCGCAAGACACGCGATTTCCTCGTTGAAATCGTCGTGTTGCGATTTCAATAGCCACAGACGTTTGGCCTCCTGTACGTGTCGTAACTCGACGCGGTTCGCGCGTCTTCTGCACATATCTACGAAAGCCAATACTCGCGCCGTGGTCCTAATGAGCCTTTCGTAACTAGAAAATCGGCCTATGTCGGGCAAGTGATAGAAACTGCCCTTCTCGTTTGCGTACGACACGACTACCTCGTCCTCAGTCGCGACAGACTCCTCGCGTTCCGTTGGCCATTTGTCTTCCGATTCGTACAAGAACGCGGGCCCTATGAACCATCTATCGCGACTAGTTTTCATATCGGTACTTATTCGCGTCGCGTCGTCCGCTACGTTATCCGCGGTCGGCACCCATCTCCATTGGTCGACACGGGTAAGTTCGGAGATATCGCTCAATCTGTGCGCTACGTAAGGAGTATAACGCGGCTTATCGTTCCTTATCCAATGAAGTGCGGTTTTCGAATCCGACCAGAATATCACTCTATCGATGGGTACGCGATGTTCTCGTAGTATGGAATCTGCCAGACGCGCGCCTACAAGGTTCGCTTGTAGTTCTAAACGTGGGATACTTGGCGCGCGAATCGGGGTCACCTTGGCCTTCGTCGCGGCGAGGGTGACATTGACCTCTCCACTTCTATACGTTATACGCCAGTACGCGGCCGTCGCGTATGCTAACTCACTGGCGTCGCTGAACACGTGTAACTGCGTATTCGTCGTGTCCTTGTTAAAACCGTACTTTCGATCTAACCGTAAGTCGGCTACCGAGTCCATATCACGTAGCCAATCTAAAAATTCGCGATTCTCCGTTTCGGGTAAAACGTCATCCCAACCTACGTTGGACCTCCATACGTTTTGCAGTACTATTTTCGCCCTGATCGTATAATAGCTAAGTAAGCCTAGAGGGTCGAAAATTGACATGACTGCGCTGAGGGCCTCGCGCTTAGTAGGTCCTCTTTTCAACGATCGTACCTCTCGCGGCACCCTATTCATGGCCGTATTGAAGCGAAGTTCGTCACTTGAGGCCTCCCATAACAGCCCTAACGTTTTCCCCGCTCCGTGAGGGTCGCTTCCGCCTAATTCCTTGGCCGCGCGGGCCCTAGCTTCTACCGGTACGTGTTCTAACACGAGCTCGCTATTCGAGTTCCAGCCCGCTAGCTGGAATCCTGCCCTCGCTTGCACCGTTACTACTTCGGCGACTGCTTGCACGGCCTTAGCTTCGTTCTCGTAACTGTCCACCCAATCGTCCATATAATGATTCGATGTGATCGCGTCGAACGCTACGGGATAAAATTGCGCGTGTTCCTTAGCGTTCAAGTTTCTAACGCTATGCGCCAGGAACGGGGAACTTCGAGCACCGAATATCATCGAAGTCATTTTATAACGAGTGGGCGGATTCGTTCTATCGTCCCCTCTCCATAGGAACATTTGGGCGGGCTGATCGGCTTTGCGTATCTTAATACGCATGAACATCTCGCGTATGTCCGCCGATACGGCTACGTCGCGTTCCCTAAAACGGAATAATACGCCCGGCAACGATCGTAACAAGTCGGGACCGTCCAAGAGCTTGTCGTTCAAGCAAGTGCCGTTAACAGTGGCGGCGGCGTCGTGTACTAAGCGCAATTTGCCCGGCTTATTTACATTCCGCACGGCGAAATGCGGAAGGTACCAACCGATCGGGCTGTCCGCTTCGTTTCCCTGGCACGGCTCCGCATACCCCTTGTCTAAAAGGTTCTGGACCTGCGCTTTGTACTCTTGTTTAAATTCCGGCGACGCGTCCATTTTTCGTTCGATCGTTCGCAGCCTGCGGAGCGCCATATCGTAGCTCGGCGGCATGACAACTACGTCGTCTTTCCACGGCAGCCCTACCTCGAACTGGTGGCCTATTCGCTTCGCGGTTCGCGCGAATATGTCGAGCGCTCTCTCTTCGCTACGCGACGGCTTCGCTATTTTAGAAATCCCTACATTATCTATAGCGAAGTGTCGTTTCATACGATCCTCGAGCCGTTCGTCGAGATCGTTACAAGTGCGCGATATGTCCGCTCGGTACGTATATGCATGAAAGACGTTTTCGTTCGCGGTCGAGTTAATAACTTTCGGTACCGTTCCGTGTACCGTCCAGCCCAAGCTCGTGAGGGAAGCGACCGGTTCGCGGCGCCCTCCTACCAATAACTGACGCGACACGATCAAGTGCCAGTTATCGGCCCCTACCAAGATGCCTGGTTTCACGTTATTGTAGCAAACTTTCGACCTATCGAGACCTCGTAGGTGCGCGTATTCCAAGCACGACGAGTCTATAGTCTGTCTCGCTAATTTTAAGTTATGTACGGTTCGCGCAATAACTTTGTGACTTTCACCCGGCTTTCCACATATACTTAATTCTACGGCCTTACTAGTCGGTTCGCTCTGACTAGACCCTAGTCCGTGAATACGTAGTTTTCGCGTGGGCCCGTCGGCCCCTATGCGGTCCGCTATTTCCGCGTCTATCAGAGTGACGGTCGACCCCTCGTCAAGTAGAGCGTACGTATTTGCGCGTTGCCCGTTAGGCCCTATCACGCTAACTGGACACACCTTCAGCAAGACCGATCCGCTGTTTTCCTTGACCAACACCGACGTGTTGAGAACCGTCTCGACCTTCGGTGTCTCGGGTTTCGAAACCGGCTTACGCTGCGTGTGCAACAAAGCGTGGTGCGGGGAGTCACAACTGTCGACTCCGCACGACTTCGCCCTACAGTTGAAGCGGCGATGTTTCTCCACTAGGCACTTGAAGCACACGTACGCCTCCTTGGCCCACTTCCAACGGTCCTCCACCGTCATGCCTAAAAACTTCCAACATCGCGGGACCGAGTGATTGCCGCCGCAACAAAGGCAAACCGATTTCCTTGGCTCCTTGTTTTCCGCGGTGGCGGTGTACACGTTCCTACGTTCGGGGCGGCGCGTACGCGGTGGGCGGGGCTTAGGGTCGTGCCTCGCTGGCGCTGTTTCTTTCGCGGCCGAGTGTAAATACCGAATCGCCAGGTCCCCTTCGCGCATTAGAAACCGCGATAGCTTGATGATCTCGGGTTCGATTTCGTTTCGGTGTTCGTCCGCGTACTCGCACCACTTGGTCTGCCGGTACGTGTCGAGCTTTTCTACCAAGTCGCGTACTAGCGTGGAATCATACAATTGCCAGTGGGCTAAATTCCCTAATACGCAGGCGACATTCTGCACCTTAACGGCGAAGCTGTTTAAACCCGTTGCCGTTCCGTCGGGTCGCGGCAAACGCCTAAGCTCGCTAACGGTGCGTTCCACTATGAGTTCCGGCTTACCGAAACATTGCTCTAACGTATCCATAATTACGGACGGATTCGTAGCCGTGTACAGGAGCGCAGCGACTGCTTCTTTCGCTTCTCCCTTCAGGCTGACTCGTAAGCGCGCCAAATTCTCCGCGTCTGAGAATTTGTACATTCGGGTTGAGTCTATCATCGCGCGCTTGAACGGGAGCCAATCCGTGTAGGCTCCGGTGAAAATTGGCAATTCCTGCGCCTGTCGCGGCGGTGGGCGAAACATTGCCATTTTCTCTAACGCGTCTACCAACCTATCAACGCCTCTACCT